AAACACTGTGCTCACCTCCTCCCACAACCACATCGAAATTACAACTGAACTACAGAACAACCATCATTCAGAACTGCCACAAGACTGGCTGAACAGAAGTCCTATAACTAAGGAAAAAAAGAAGGCACATCCAGACTGGTAGAAGGGGTAGTGATGCAGAATGAGCTGTGGCCTCCAGATATAAACCAGGAGGGATATCTTGGTTGTGGAGGTCCCAGTCCCCTCTGAGGAGTGAGAGGTCCCAGCTCCACACCGGAATCCCCAGCCCACAATTCCAGGGCTGGGAAGAGAAGTCCCCATAACTTCTGGCTGTAAAAACCATCAGCGATGGCCCTGGATGGTGTAGCTCAGTGGATTGAGCGCGGGCCTGTGAACCAGACAATCGCAGTTCGATTCCCAGTCCTGGGTTGCAGGCCAGTTCCAAACAGGGGATGCATGCGAGGCAACCATACATTGATATTTCTCATTGATATTTCTCTCCCTCTCTCCTTCTATTCCCCTCTAAAGATAAATCAATAAAAATATTAAAAAAAAAACCCAGCAGGGATGGTGGCTGAGTGACAGAAGGCCGCTCCAAGTTTTAGGCAGTTCCTCTATAAGGGCCCACACGTGGACTTACATGGACTCACTGCTTCTGAGCATAGGAGCTGCAGTGCGAAAGAAACCAGAGACATACAAGGAGGAACTCAAGTATCCAACATCAGAGCAAGAGGTGAGGGGCAGCTTTCTTCCAGACAAAAGTACTGGCAGAGGCCATTGTCTCTTTGTTGAACCCATCCCCACCAAGCCTGCACATGCATGTGGAGGCCATACCTGAGTCCCCATCAGCCTAGCTAACCTTGTTTGTCCAATATCCACAAATCAATAAATGTAATAAATCACACAAACAAAATGAGACACAAAAATTACATGATCATGTCAATAGAAGCATAACTACCATTTGTTAAAATCCAGCACCCACTTATGATAAAAACAAAAACTACACTCTCAGCAAAGTGGGAATATACTTCGCCATACTAAAAGCCATATATGAAAAACCTACAGCCAGCATCATACTGAATGGGCAAAAACAGAAAGTGTTTTCCTTAAGATCAGGAACAAGTTAGGGGTAATCTCTTTCAACACTAGGTTATGCAACACAGACTAGAAGTCCTGGATGCAACAAACAGAGAAGAAATAAAAGGCATCCAAATTGGAAAGGAAGAAGCAAAACTGTCATTATTTACAGATGACATGATGCTGCATATGGAGAACCCTAAAGAGTCCACCAAAAACTACTAAAAGTGGTAAATGAATTCAGTAAACTAGCAGGATACAAAATGAATATTCAGAAATCAGTGGCATATTTATACACCAATATGAACTATCGGCAAGAAAAACTAAGAAAACTATCCAGTTACAATTGCAACAACAACAACAACAATAACAACAACAATAAGGTACTTACGAATAAATTTATCCAAGGAGGTAAAGACCTGTATTCAGAAAATTGTAAGATACTGAAGAAAGAAATTGAGGTGATGCAAATCAGTGGAAGCACATACTGTGTTCGTGGGAAGATTTAACATCATTAAAATGTCCAAACTACCCAAAGCAATCCATAGATTCAAGGCAATTCCTATCAAAATACCAATAGTGTATTTTAGAGGACTAGACCAAATATTCCAGAAATTTATGTGGAACCAGAAAAGATCTCAAATAGCCTCAGCAGTCTTGAGGAAGAAGAGCAAAATTGCAGGTCCCTTGCTATCTGATATCAAACTGCACTACAAGGCAACAGCACAAGACAGCCTGATACTGGCATTAAACAGACACAGATCAACGGAACAGAACAGAGAGCCCAGAAATAAAACCCACACCGTAATGTTCAATTAATATTTGACAAAAAAGGCAAGAACATACAAAGGGGTGAAGACAGTCTATTTAAGAAATGTTGTTAGAAAAATTGAATACATGCAAAAAAACCCATTAGACCACCTTGTTACACTACACAAAAGAATAAACTCAAAATGGATCAAAGACTTTAATGTAACTTGAAACCATAAAAATCCTAGAAGGAAACATAGGTGGTAAAGTCTCAAACATTCCTCATAGCAGTATGCTTTCTGATATAGCTCCTTGGGCAAGGGAAACAAAAGAAGAAATAAACAAACTAAAATGTGTTTTCACAGCAAAGGAAACCATTAACAAAATGAAAAGACAACCCACTAAATGAGAGAACACTTTTGCCAGTGATACATTAGACAAGGGGTTAATAGCCAAAATTTATTAAGAGCTTATACAACTTAACATCCAAAAAACAAACAATCCAATTAAAAAATGGGCAAAGGACCTGAATAGACACTTCTTCAAAGAGGACATACACATGGCTAATAGACATATAAAAAGATGCTCAATGTCACTAATCATCAGAGAGATACAACTTAAAAACACCATGAGATATCACCTCACATCTGTCAGAATGGCTATCATCAATAAATCAACAAATAACAAGTGTTGGTGAGGTTGTGAGGAAAAGGGAACCCTCGTGCATTGTTGGTGGGAACGCTGATTGGTGCTGCCACTGCGGAAAACAGTGTGGAGTTTCCTCAAAAAACTAAAAATTGAAACTGCCTCGTGACCCAGTGATTTCACTCCTGGGAATTTATCCAAAGGAACCTGAAACACTCAGGTGTCAAAAGAATATATGCAGCCCTAGGTTCATAAGCATTATTTACAATAGCCAACATTTAGAAGCAGCCCAAGTGCCCATCAGGAGATGAGTGGATAAAAAAGCTGTGGTACATTTACACCATGGAACTCTACCGGCCACAACAAGAAGAAAGTCTTACCCTTTGTGACAGTACGAATGGACCTAGAGGGTGTTATGCTACATGAAATAAGTCAGTCAGATAAAGCCAAATACCATATGATTTCATTTGTATGTGGAATCTAATGAATAAAATTAACAAACAAAATAGAAACACACTCATAGATACAAAGAACAGACTGACTGCTGTCAGAGAGGAGGGAGGTTGGGGGACTGGGCTCGGTGAAATAGGTGAAGGAAATAAGCAACCCCCCCAAAAAAACCCAAAACAAAAACGAACAAACAAACCCCCTGCAAACAACTCATAGACACAGACAACAGCTGGGTGATAACCAGAGGGAAAGGTGGGGTGAGAGGAGCAGAAGAGGGTAAAGGAGGTAAAAATATCAGGAGACTTGATTTGAGAATGGCGAACACACAGTACAATATAGAGATGATGTGTAGAATTGTATACCTGCAACCTATATAATTTTATTAACCAATGTCACTCCAATAAATTCAATACAAGTATTTTTAAAACAGAAGGAAAAATAATAAAGATTTTCAGGTTTCAAGTTTCTTCCCAGTGGTCTTTCCATGTGCAGTTCTAGGACTTTTACTATCAAGCTGGAAAATGCTGGAAATGACTGACCAGCAGACTGATCTCAGCAGTGAACCTGAGCTGGGTGCTGAGGTGTCTGTTCCCTGGAGTTAAATGGGGAATTTCAACTCAAAACGAGAGTTCAGTGTTGCCAGATGTTTCCACCAATTAAACAACAGTGATTTATCCAGCAACAAGCATACTGAAGCAAGTGAGCAAGTGAGAATGTTGGCCCTGCCTTCGGGAAGCGGAGCGAAGTGAGGAGGTGCGGGAGCAAGAGGGCGTCCCAGCACCGGGACAGGGCCAGCTGCACACCCAGGGCCGAGGGGTGAGGCCCATGGCCTGGAGCTGCCAGCCTTCCACAGCAGCTCAGAGCCTCTCCACAGACCTGGTGACAGAATCTCTTGACCGATATCTAGTTGAACATATATCAGCCATGATAATATGTGGTACATGAATATTTGGAGACATGCATCGTTCAGAGGGCCTGGCCCTCCCCGATGGGCCCCAAACAATGGGAAATGACGGGAGGGATCAATTTGCAAGTGTGGAGATGCTGGCCACCCACCAAATGCTTGTGTGTGCAGGTGTGAACGTGACTGTGTGCACGCATGTGCACATGCATGTGTGTAGGCTGAGCAGCTGAATACAGCTGCAGGTAATCAGATATTGAACCAACAAAGCCTGTCATCACCTGGGTACAGTGCCACCACCTGCCAGCTTACCCAGGAAAGGGAATGAATGGTGACTCACACCCTGGTCAGTGCGCTAAGCTCTTGGCGGAGACTGGGCCACTCGGATAAAATGCGGAGCTCCGAGGAGAGAGACCAGGGACAGTGTGGCTTCCTTCGAAGGGGGAGGGAGAAGTGATGATTCTAGAACAGGCAGCCTCCAGCACGGCTAGTTGCCTGAGAGCCCAGTGAATGTGGCCCCTGAGAGGCCCCTGAGCAGCCGCACCCCCGATCAATCAGTGTGTCCAACACACTGCTGTCAGAACACACAGGCATCCCCCGTCTGCTAAAATTCACATTAACTCTGCCTCAATTTTTTGTAAAACAATTTAAATGTATTTATTGATTCTAGAAGAAGGGACAGAGAGAAATATCATCCATTGGTTGCCTCTTATACATGCTCCGACCAGGGATCGATCCCACAACCGGTAGGTTCGGACCCACAAACTTTTGGTGTACAAGACAACGCTTCAACCGAGGTACCCGGTCAGGGCTGCCCCTTTAATCCTGACATAATCCCCCCCAGCCCAACAGCTCACAGTGAGGTTTCCGAGGTGTCCGTGAGCACCTGGTCCCTGAGTGGCGCGGCCTGTGCATGGGTGCCTGCTGCGTGCACCTGTGCAGAGTCCTGCTGGGCCCGGAAGGATGACTGTCACAAGAGACCAGAGTCACAGCAACAGGGCTGTGAATGGGAGGAGGCTGAGAAACGGCAGGACTCCAGTACCTTCCGGTACCTTCTAGCAGTGCTAGCAAAGAACAGCTGCAGGGGGTTGGGGGTCACTGCACAACAAGGAATAAGGACAGGAAGACACTGGTTGAAAACAGACTGAAGGTAAACTTGGCAATTTGGGAAAACACTAATAAATATTACTGGGAAAAATTCATAATCACAAACAAAATATATTTATTAGAAATATTATAGTCATACATACACTTTTTTTCATACACTTTCATGTTAATAGTTAAATACAGCTCTGTTGGCACATGGTATCCTGAGACTGCTTGGTACAGTCTGGTATGCTTTGTGCTGAAACAAGGCTACAGATGTATCAATGGCATTCAACTAAATGTACTTAAAATTAGTGAGCTACTCAGGATGTTACAGCCAGACTCTAACCTGGGTCAGAGAAGGGAAATACCAGGTGAACTTGGGCAACTGAGATATTAAAAACATTTTTAAAAGGTTGGGTTTACATCTTTCACTGCATGTCCTTGGTAGTTCATCTCAACATGGCACTAAAGCTTTGGAATGGTAAGAACTGCTGCTGGATTTGGCAAATGGGTTTGTATTCACAGACTTGAAACCTCTAATTCCACACGCCTTACAAAAGCCTGCCCTGCCCTTGGTGGGGAAGTGGGAGGGGAAGAGAACACACAGACAGCTGCAGACAGACCTTATGGCCAGGTGACTAATTACTTTGGGAAGTGCATTTTGTGTAACACCTGTGCATCCACTTTGGATGGTCTCAACAAAGCTACAGCACAGCAAAAGAATGAAGTACGGAAACCAAAGGCTAGCATCGTTTGTGAAGTGAGAAGGGACGAGGATGCAAGAAGCCTGAATTTGCCCAGGGAGACAGGGGCTGAGGCAGTATCACATGTCATTGAAAGTTCAAGTTCATGAAACAACTTGCAATGCATGGACCCATCCATGACTTCTCTTTACATCTTTAAAAATTCCACTCTTCTGGGTCTTGCACTTTGCATGTGTTTTTTTTTTATATAAAAGCAATACATTAAAAAAGAATCTGCAGAACCACCACATAGCTTTAAGTGACTGACCATTGGCTGAAAGAAATTGGGGAGAACTATGTAGCCTTGAAAATCTCACAGAAAAAACTGGAAAGGACACAGCTTACAGCTTGCTGACACTACCTCGTTTTCTCAGCATGTCAATTTTCCACCTTCACTCTGTGCTGAGCTCTCTGATTTCAAACGGACGTAAAAAACCCCACTCCGTGGCCTGGCCTGGTCTGAGACAGCTGCTCCCCAACTCTGCAGTGCTGGAAGGCCTGAGCTTGCACTCCAGCAGCCTCAGTCCCCTCTCAGGACCCAGCAGGGCCAGACCCACCCCACGCCACATGTATTTCTCTTTCAGGACACATGCTTCCTCTCCTTGCATGCCCACCAGCAAAGAAATGGCAGTAAAGGAACTCCCTTGAATTATAAAAATAAATCACCACATGGTCTTCTTTATGTAGGACATTTCTTTCCTTCCTTTTAACCTGAAGGGAGCAGGCACCAGCAGGGAGGGAGGGGGAGGCCCAGGCTGCTGACCCAGAGCTGGTGCTGAATCATTCATGGTAATCACTAAAAACAGGGCGCTGATCGTGCCGAATGTCCCTACGGGCATCCAAGACCTCAATGTCTCCCACGCACTAAGACTTGTAGTAATTCCCGATAAACACAGCCACTAACAGCCCCACCCCATTACTTGGCATGTTCCTTTCCCCCGCTGTAATGGTGAGTAGCCCAGAAACATGGGAAATACGAGTATATCAGTTACATCAACAAAAAACAGATGCAAGAAGTGGAATAAGTGGTAACTTTCATCTGAATACATTCATCAGGGAGGAGTCAGGTGAATTCGTTCAGCCTGTGCTTCGAACTTCTCCTTGAACACAAAGGGCCAGTTAGGAAGCCCTTGCCCTATACTGCTCAGTGCTCTCTGTGCTGCACTGCCCTGGCCGGCCCTGCATGCCGCTCAGTGGATCTGGAGACTTGGACAATGCATAGGACACATCCCCAGGCCCATTCCAGATACCTGGACTCAACAACAGGGCAGGCCAGGAGACTGTAATGCAAAGCCACAAGCAGAACCACCGCAGTGCCTGAGATGGAGGGTGGACACAACAGCAGAACCCCAGGGCCAGCCCCACAAGGGTGGCCTGGAGGGAGAGCCCAGGCTCAGGCAGTGGCTGGGCCTGCAGCCCCCAGGCCCCCTAAGGACCACCACCGTGGGAGTGTTACTTTAAGCAACAGCAGCAGCACTGTTACTCTCAGGGACTTACTGGTAATAATGACCCTTTGTCTGAGGGGCAGTAACCGAGAGTAATAGGCCCCTTCATGTCACGGTGCGCACGTGATGACCACCTCAGGCTCACGTTTGTGAGCTGCACCCACTGCTATATAAAGTGCATTTATTTCCCAACAAGAACAGAGAATCACTAGGTGGTTACTTGCAGAGTACTTTCCGAGATGAATGGGGCCACTTGGGGGATTCTGCTGTGGCTTAGAGTGAGGGCAGGACAGTAGAGAAACTGCACTGTCCTTCCTTCAATTACAACAGAGCCATCTCTGCCCATCCCCAAGGGCTTCCTTTTGCTATGTGAACACAAAAGGCCTGATATAGTACTGAAATTTTAGTATAGTAATTTAGTAAATTATAGTATAGTAATTTTAGCCTTATATAGTATATAGTACTAAATACTATATAAGGCTAAAATTGAAATATTGCCTAAATTTGCTGTCTGCCTAGTATCCCAAGAAATACGCATCTTCAACTTGTTTCATTGCACAAATACCCGAAGACCCCAGCAGACCTCTGCACACGAGCAGTCTCTGTCCATTCCACATGTGGAGTGAGCGTGTTTGGGTACGCTCGGAGTGTGAGTAAACAAAAGGCCAGATGGAGTGGAGGAAGCCAAGAGCTGGCATGTAAGGTGTGCACAGGACCAGCTGAGTGTGGAAGCTCCATGTGCCCGAGTCCCAGCCCAGCACATGGGCAAGCGCACACTTCTGCCTACTGGCCACCCCACAAGGATGGGGAGCCAACTACCCAGGGCCTCATTCTAATTCTCACATGTTTCACCTTCCTTCCACGGAGTCAAGTGAGTGACAGAAATACCTGAAAATGTAACTGAGTTCTGGGTGCTGAAGTTGTCACCTAGAACATCACCACATTTTCCCCAAAGGCAGGTCCGTGTTTTTCCACGATGCTTGAAGGCACACATCTGTCTTTTGTTATTTTTTCTTTTTTGGATGGAGGTGATGGGTAGAAAGAGCACAGTTTTTATAAAGGCAAAAGCTGGGACTGTTAGTAAAAAGGTGGCCAATGTCCATTGCTGTCTGTTGTAAGTCTCGGTGCACCTTGTTGGGAAATCGCTCAGTGTGACTAGAGATGTCCCTCTCGGAGAGCAAAGCTTCCCCAACTTCCCTCTGAATGTGTCCAGACTCAAGGTGGGTACACAGGGAACCAGCTCTATTTCCCACTTGTGTGTAGGTATCCGCCAGATTGGACCTTCTTTTGAAAGGCAGAGCAGGGCCTGTGGAGAGTGACCGGGTGCTTCCAGGACAAAATGCAGAGGGTGGCAGCAGCTGTTGTTGGGTCCTCAGGTCTACGTCTCAAAGTACTTGTATATCTGGGCTACGTACTGCATCACGCTCTGCCAGTCAGGCCGGTCAGTGTGCAGCATCTCGCTGAGCTCCTGAAGGAGAGAGAAAGGGTCACAGAGGGGCCTGGGCCCTGGGCAGGGCTGGTACCGCCACAAAAACCTCCACCCACAAGGTGGCAGGTGGAGACGACACCAACACAGTGTAGAATGTGATTAGTTAAGAGAAAAGCATTTTCTTCCTATTTATTCAGGAGATACCATTCTTTAAAAAAAACATTAAACATGACCTCCCACCCTGCATCTTTTAACAACATGGCAGCATTAAAAAAAAGTGTGAAAAGACAAAGTCACCCATAATTCCATTACCGTAAAGGATTTCCACTTCTCTGAGTTCCCTGTGATCCCCACTGTCTCCAGTACCATGGACACCCTGTGCGCTCTGTGCTTCTCACTGAGCATCTTCATACATAATTCCCACCCCGCGGCACTGTGTCGTTGGCTGTCCCCTCACTGGCAGGTGTGACGGGCAGTTTGTGTCCAACTCACGTTACAGACCTTGCAATAAGTATCTTGGTACATACTGTTTCCTTCTGTGGAACTAGTGCCTTAAGATACGTTTCCAAGAATGTGACCACCTCAAGTTCTTGAACCAGTTTGAAATGCAACCGTCTTGAAACCATTCTGGTTTCACCAGAATTAGGTGTTACCACTCAACGTTAACTTACTAGGCAACAAGCAGGCAGAAAGCAGAGGCCAGAAAGTGCCAGGCAACAGAGCTAGTCAAGTTTCCTGAAATGTATGCTACTTAACATATTTCATAATTCACTTACAATTACATTTGGATTCTTTTGTGGTCCCAAGAAAACAACAGGAAAGGACCCTAACGTAGAGCCAGACACAGAAACACAGTGGAGGCATAAGGCTGAACGGACCAGCATATCTGCTCCTGGGCAGCGACAGAACTAGCTATAGCCAGACATTTGTCCCCCATCTCAACACCATCAAAATACATTCCAATGAGGTTGGCCCTGGTTATAGTAAAATGACACGCATATCACTGGTTGTGTGAGAGGGGTGGAGAAAGAGTAAGTGCAACACTCCACACATACATATCTAGAAAAATTTTAAAAGAAAAAGCTTTCACAGAATACAAAGATAAAAAGTCTCCTACCTCAAATACGGTAGTCAGGGCTGTGCACACAGATTAATGCATGGAGAACTAAAATTCATATTAACAGGGGAATTCTTAACATAACAATACAAAAAAGTAGTAGTTGAGAATTGAGCATGCTACTTAGGAGATAAATGAGCACTGAGAAATTAGGGAAGGCCCACAGATGCAAAAGAGATAGACGGAGAACTTGCCCCCAGTGCTTTATGCAGGAAAAGCATCACATAAAATTTAACAACCATTCATGATAAAAATTCTAAAAAAACTAGGAATAGAAAGAAATTTATTTTACCTAATATAGGAAATACACCAAAACCCAAAAGTTGATACCATACTTAATGGTGACAGACTGAAAACTTTCCCCCTGAGATCAGGAAAAAGGAACAAGGCAAGAATGTCTCTCTCACTTCTTGTCTTCAACACTATAATGGAAGTTCTAGCTAGTGCAATAAGGCAAGAAAAAGAAACAAAAGGCATACAGATGAGAAAGGAAGAAATAAAACTGTCCTTATTTGCTGATGACATGATTGTCTATGAAGAAAATGCCAGGAAGTCTACAATAAAATCTCTTGGAACTAAAATGTAAGTTTAGCAAGGTCTCAGGATACAATGTCCACATCCAGAAGTCAAATGTTTTCCTACCTACCCAGCAATAAATAACTGAAATTTGTAACAACCAAATTTAAAGTAGAAGAAGAAGATAAAAAAAGGAGAGAGAAGGCAGAGGTGGTGAAAAAACAGGAGGTGCAAGAGGTGAAGAAGGAAAATGGGGAGGAGAAAAAAGAATGACAAGAACAAGAACAGTATAAATCAACAAACAAACAAACATCCCCAAAGACCAAACCTGTGCAGAATCTATATGCAGAAAACTACAATCCACTGATGAAATACACTTAAAATCTAAATAATGAAGATGCATTAAAATGTCAAGTTTTCTCAATCTGATCTACAGCTACAACACAACCTAAATAAAAACCCCAACAAGCTTTTTTGGGAGAGATCGACACACTGATTTTAAGGCACTAAGCAGCCAAAACAATTCGGAACAGAATCAACAATTCTGGAGACTCGATTTCCTGATTTATAAAGCTGTATTAATCAGCAGAGTGTGACCAAGAAATAGACCCTTAGACCAAGAAACAGACCCTTAGATCACGTTATTTGTATTTTATTACAATAAAAAAACTGAGAAAAAAGAGAGAAGCCTTCTTGCCCTTGGCAGCACATGGCCCTGGGGTGGGGGTGGGACAGGAGCTCTATAATCAGGTAAGTTACAGCAGACTGTGGCCTGCAACACACAGAGCTTCTACTAAATGGTGCTTTAAAGGGCCCAGAGGCGGCTTGGGTGTCCTGGCCACAAGGCCCCTGAGCAGGTCAGAGCGCTGGCCAGTTGCCTGCCTCTGCCACTCAGGGGCTGCTCATCTCTCTAGACCTGTATGTGCCTCCTGTGCCCTGGTAAGGGGCACCTGGCTCTGCAGGCTCAGGGAGCATGCACACATAAATGCCTGGTGCATAGATGTGAAGCACATGCTTTTTCTGTGATCAAGCTTGAAAGCATCCTGTAAGTGCCCTTTCTAAGGTTTATACTAAGGTTTAAGGTTTTATGGAGTAGCCCAGTTGTGCCTAAGGACACATTCTGACCCCTCCTACGATCCTGAGCTGTAAGCATCTCCCCATAGGAGGCCTGACGTCCTGGACGTGGGCGTGCTGTGGCTACTCTGGTGGATGCCCTGGTTTACCAGTCATCAGCACCAGCAGACAGATGACTGGTGTGGGAATGTCCCAGCATTAGGATGCACCAAACCCTGCAGGGCACATCCTCTGGCTGTTTTCACAGTGGCAGCAACACCACCACAACATCCCTCTCACCAGTTCTCTCTGTGAGGTGCTGCCCACAGGTGTCCCATGAGAAGCCAGCCCTCTGAGTCCCACTATGGTGGTAATGGAGTGCTTGCTAAAATTTGGGGGACGCTGTAGATCTTTCACTTGTAAAAAATGTAATCCTTACGAATATGCTACCCCCAGAAACCTATACTTACTTGAATATACACATATAAGTGGCTATTTTCCTAACTTAACAATAGAACTTGATCAAAAGCTTGGGATTATTATTGCTGCCAGTTCTGACTGGAAGTATTTTCAAAGTATCACACATAGTTAAATATATTATTTTTCAATCCACATCAAGATATTGAAAAGCAATTTTTTTAATCCTCACTCAAGGATATTTTTAAATAAATATTTTATTCACTTATCTTTAGAAGGGAAGGGAAAGAGAGAAGGAGAGAAACATCAATGTATGGTTGCCTCTCATGTCCCCAGCTGGGAACTGGCCTGCAACCCAGGCATGTGCCCTGACTGGGAATTGAACCACAATGCCTTAGTTTGCAGGCCCGCACTCAATCCACTGAGCTACACCAGTCAGGGCTCAAGGATATTTTTCATTGCTTTTAGAGGGGGATGGGGAGAGAGAGAGAGAGAGAGAGACAAACATCCATGTGAGAAAGAAGTATTGAGAGGTTGCCTCCCATGTGCACCTGGACCTCGGATCAAACCCACAACCTAAGTATGTGCCCTGACCAGAAATCGGACCCACAGCCTTTTGGTTACAGGACAGTGCTCCAACCTCCTGAGTCACTGGGCCAGAGCTGAAAAGCAAATTTAATAATATAGGAAGTTTCTGCTTTGTTGATGACACAAACCGTTTAAATGTCTCACAAGCATTCCTAAGTGCTTTTGAGATTAATTATGCTTGTCAGTAGCTCCTCACAGACATCTGTAAAGATGGAATTGCTGGCTCTGACAATGAGATCTACAGATGATCTCACTCTCGCCCCAGCTTCTGCTAACTGCTAAAGTACTGCTTTAGATGAGTACCGCTTTAGCTAACTGCTAAAGATGAGGATTAGGAAAAATGTTAAATTAAAAAGCAAACACTAACTGTAACACAACAAAGAAAAATGTATTCTTGTATACTCATATATAATACAATCTTCTAGAAAGTTCTCATCATATCTTTAATTCCATTAAAGATATAATATCTTTAATTCTCCATTCTGCCCAGATGTGTAAGTCTTCTCATTACTTTTTAAATTCTCTAGATTCAGATACACATAGGATCTCTTTCAATAAAGAGATCCCTCTTGAAGAGGGATCTTCAAGAAAAAGGGATATCTTTTTCTTGAAGGGTAGTAGAATCTGGGCTTACTGGTTGTGTGTGTGTGCGTGTGTATGCACATGTGACTATATTTTACACAATGAATTCAACCCTTTTAAGGGTTAAAATTCTATTTATGTCTGAGTAAGTTTTGGACACATATTTACATTGAACCTTTGAAATATATTTATATTTCTTTAGAAAACTGTCTTTTATTTCAAACATATTGGCATAACATTGTTCATATACTGAAATTTCTGTGACAACTTTACTTTCATTTTTTCATTTCTTGGATGCCCTACAGCATCAGAGGGTTATGGAATTTCGTCTCACTACAGTGAAATTTCAATTTCAGTTTTCCTGATTGTTAATGGGATTGAACATCCTTTGAAATGTTCATTGGTGATTTGTGAGTTGCCTATTCTAGCCTTTGACAATTTTCTACTACATCGTCTTTTTAACATTTTTGGTTAGTAGAAATTATTTGTAGATTATCTGTCTTCACTTTTTTTGAAGTGTAGTTATGATTTGTCTGAATGAATATTTTGTTTTATTTATCCTGTTTGAGATTCACTAAGAATCTTCAGTCTTTCATCACTCTGGAAAAATTTCAGGCACCATTTCTTCAAATACTGTCTCTCTACCATTCTGTCTTTACCCTTCTTCTGGAGTTCCTACTCGACATGGGACACAGTCACTATCTCATTAATTGTCCACGTCTCTTAAGCTCTGTGATACGCAACAGTCATTCCCAACCCTCTTCTCCCTTGCAGGCTTCCTACCTGAGAGGCTGAGAATGTGCGCTCCCTCCGTCACACTCCCCTGCTGTCGGAGTGACCACGTGACCTGACCGAGTAATGCCAATGGCGGGGGGGGGGGGGGGTACACACGACGACTCTAGGAAGTTTTCAGACTTCCTCACCAAAGGGGGAAAATGTGAGGCACTTGTTCTACCCCTTTCCCCTCCTTCCCACCCTGGTGAAAGGAGTGATGTGCAGAGCTTGGCAGCCACATTCAACTGCAGAAGAACAAGCAGCCAAGGAAGAGAGAAGACACTGGCGGATCAGAGATGGTGAAGTACAGAGAAGAGGCCCTCTGGGTCCTGGGTTCAACACTGAGCTGGGCCTGAAGCCACTTCTGGAGTTTTTATTTTTATTTTTTTAAATAACATCTTTTTGGTTTAAGCAACTATTAGTTGGGTTTTCCATTTCTTGAAGTTGAATATGCACTAACTTATAAAATTCCTCTATTGTGTTTTCAATGTTTCTGTTTTATGTTCTGAGTAATTTCCTTAGGTCTATTTTCCAGTTCTCTTCTATACCTAATCAGGTTTTCAACCCAACTAGTATTTTTAATTCTAAATTCCCATTTTGAGAAGTCTTATTGGATTATTTTTCCAAATCTTTTTTAAAAAGTTTTTTTTAAAAAATAATACTTCATTTATTTATTTTTAGAGAGCGGGGAAGGGAAGGAGAAAGAGAGGGAGAGAAACATCAATGTGTGGTTGCCTCTCACGTGCCCCCTACTGGAAACCTGGCCTGAAACCCAGGCATGTGCCCTGACTGGGAATCGAACCAGTGACCCTTTGCTTCACAGGCCTGTGCTCAATGCACTGAGCATACCAGCCAGAGCTACCAAATCTTTTTTTTTTATAATAACATGGTCCTTCCCATTCCTTTGATCTCTTTAGGATGTTTAAACCTAGTTTTTGTAGTCTCTTTCTTACTGTTTTATTATTTCTAGTTCTGGGAGACAATCTTCTTGTTTGTGGTATCTGCTGACAAGCTCAGATAGTTTTTTGGGTGTTCTGTCATTTGGGCTTGTGAGCGTATCTCCAGCAATCACTGGACCACTAGCCAAGAAGTTTCCTGCATGAGAGGTATAATAGTAAAAACTAGGGCCTCTTGCTGCACAAATATCACAAATTTAGACTCTAAACCTCACCTGGCTGTTTTCTTAGAGGGGAAAAGCAAACTTCCTCATCACCTCCCTGGACTAGCGGGTGGAGTTTTTTTTATATCCTATTTCACTAAGAAGAGCTGCATTTTGTGAGCCTTGGTTTAGGGCAGGGGTCTCCATAGTAATGCTCTTATTCCTGGGTGGGAGTGTGAAATAACATCCATCGTGACAGCCCAGCACCACGGCCTCTAGCCCTGGCCTCGGGTGAGCACAGTGTGAGCTCAGGCCTCCTGGCTCTGGTTTGTACTTCTCTTTTCATGTCTGGCACCTGGTTCTTTCCCATTCTTTCTTCAGAGCTCGGCTATGTATTGACATTTTAAAAATTACACATCATTCAGATTTCCAGGTGACTTTAACAAGAGGACTTTACTGGTAATTCAGTTCACTGTGTTTCCAGAACTAAAATATATCCATAATGAATCTTTATTTTTTCTCATTAAACTTTGTTTTAATGGGTCTCAAAATTCTGTGACAGATTTTGGCCGTTTCCATCAAAAAGTACTGATTTTAAAAACTAATAGCTTAAAAACTGCCACACACAAAAAAACCGAATGGTCCACAAAGCATTCTCCTTTCCTTCTGAAGATTTTATGATGCATTGTAATCATTAACCAGTCCTTTACTATTAAACTTAAGTGGCCAATTGAGACAAAGAGTTCTGAGACCGTTCTTCCACCACTGATTAAGAGTGGGGTGGCAGGTGTTGGGGTAATATTCATTTAGCCTTCTGAGCTTTCTGGGCAGACTTGGTGACTTTGCCAGCTCCAGCTGCCTTCCTGTCCACTGCTTTGATGACACCAACAGCAACTGTCTGTCTCATGTCATGAACAGCAAAGCACCCCGGAGGAGGACAGTTAGAGGAGCTCTCAACACACATAGGCTTGCCAGGACCATGTCAACAATGGCAGTATCACCAGATTTCAAAAATTTTGGGCCACCTTCCAGCTTTTTCCCAGAGCCATGATCAATCTTCTTCAGCTTAGCAAATTTGCAAGCAATACGAGCTGTGTGACAATCCAGCACAGGTGCACATCCAGCACTGACTTGGCCTTGATGGTTGAGGATAATCACCTGAGCTGTGAAGCCCAGCTTCCATTGGTGGGTCATTTTTGCGGTCACCAGCCACATTGCCACGACGAACATATCTGACAGACATGTTCTTGACATTGAAGCCCACATTGGACCCAGGAGGAGCTTTACTCAAAGCTTCATGGTGTGTTTCAACAGACTTCGGCTGTCACGTTGACTGGAGCAAAGGTGACCACCATGCCAGGTCTGAGAACACCAGTCCCCACTCAGCCCACAGGGACAGTACCAATGCCACCAACTTCGTAGATATCCTGGAGAGGCAGACACAGGGGCTTGTTATTTAGATGAGTTAGTGGCAGGATGCAATCCAGAGCTTCAAGCAGTGTGGTTCCACTGGCACTGCCATTTTTACGGGTGACTTTCTGTCCCTTGAACCAAGGCATGTTAGCACTTGGCTCTAGCATGTCGTCGCCATTCCAACCAGAAATTGGCACAAATGCTGTCAGGGTTGTAGCTAATTTTCTGAATGCAGGTGCTGACTCTTCTTTAATGATTTCCTTGTATCTCTTCTGGCTGTAGGGCGGCTCAGTGAAATCCATATTGTTAACACCAACAATCAGCTGTTTCACACCCAGTGTGTCAGCCAAAAGGGCATGCTCACTGGTCTGCCCATTCTTGGAAATACCTGCTTCAAACTCACCAACACCAGCAACAACAATCAGGACAGCACAATCAGCCTGAGATGTCCCTGTCATCATGTTCTTGATAAAGTCTCTTTTCTGGGGCATCAGTGATGGTCACATAACACTTGCTGGTTTTGAATTTCCACAGGGAGATATCAAAGGCGATACCACGCTCACGTTCTGCTTTCACTTTATCTAAGACCAAGGCATGCTTGAAGGAGCCCTTCCCCATCTCAGCCTCCTCCTCAGATTTTCCCACGGTTCTTTTGTCAGTCCCACCACATTTGCAGATCAGATGGCCAGTAGTGGTAGACTTGCCAGACAGAATCTACATGTCCAATAGCCACAATTTTGATGTGAGTCTTTTCCTTTCCCATTTTGGCTTTGATGTAGTGGTGGTTTTCTTGACACCTGTATTCAGGTGGCAAATCCATTGCAAAAAAGCCCACAATGAATCTTAATGGGAAAAAACTCTAAATCATAGGGGGTCTGACCAACTGGATAACTGTATTCAGGATCATGAGTAACAGACCTTGAACAAATGGATTTTCACGTTGTGTAAGACATTGTTAGTAGGTGGTATAAAGCTCTTCCTCGTATAATTAGACTAAAGTGTGTCAAGGATACAAAATAGGGTTACTTACCAGGCTGGGTTTAATGCCTACACTTTCAGCTGCTTCAAATGCCAATAAGAGATTCCTTTTCTAAGTTGAAAAGATAAAAAGACAGGAATTACCAACTAAAAATATAAAGCTTTTGCTATGAAAAAACGCCAAGTGACACTCCACATAGAAAATCTATAAAACACTTAAAAATTTAAGTCAAATACACAAACAAGGGTCTCGAAATAATAAAAGAAGTTGACAGGCTACAACTGTCACTAGAAATAATATTGCCGATTGACTCTTCACTATCAAAGATACATTTTTGTTAGCCCTGCCATTTTTTACTTTGTCTAAATACAGAACATACGCTACTCCTGCTGTGTATCAACAATTGTCTAATCATGATGCTATATAAAAAAATTATCAAAATGTGCACATAGTTTTTATAATCAAATGAACCCCCCCCCCCCAATCCTGTGTCACTGGAAGAACCACTCTTAACTCCTCCCTCTGGTTCTCTGGGTGACTAGCCTGCGTATCTGCACCACAGCCTCACACGACAGTGTCTCCGTTTTGAAAACATTCCCCACTAGTTTCCTCCCAGAAGGAGGGCCCCATTATCATGCACTTCTCTGTTCTCTTCCTTATAGCCACATAACTAATTTTAGTACTTTTATTAGTTGTGTTTGTGACTTTAAATAACATCCTTATATCTCCACTTCTTGTTCCAGCAATTACAGACAGTACTTCCTGACTCCACTGTATATGATAAGTCCCCCTCATCTTTACTCCACCTTGTCAAGTTTTACTTTTAAATGATTAAAACCTGTAATACTCACTTCCTTTTCTATAGCCACATTTAAGTCTTCTGTCCTCCCTTAAGAGGTCAATTTTGAAAACTGGAAACAACAAATAGCATTTATAAAGTAGTGCCCTACAGTAACATTTCCTTCTCTACAGTTTGTCAAGATGCTGTGACACTAAACACTTTTTCAAAGGATTTTCTTCTTTGTGACCCAGCCGTACCACTGTTCTATGAAGTCCTTCAGCCCTAGTGTTCTTCAGAACCTCATGTCAGTTTCTGTATAACATCCCTGCTCCACTGGAGTAGGTTCATACGCTTCTTTCTTAAGAATGTATGTTGGAGAGACATTTTCTGGAAGCATTCACATATGAAAATTTCTTTTGTACTATCTATCACACTTGGTTCATAACTTGAGGTTGAAAATATTATTTTCCCTAGAATTTGAAAGATACTGCTCCATAATAATTTATTCCTAATTTGTTGCTTCTTTTTGAGACTCTTTCTGGTTGTTCTCTGGTATTTCTTCAACTGAATACATTTAAGAATCATTTGGTCATGCCTCCTCCCCTGCATGATTTATATGAAAGTCATTAGGATTATATTAAAATGTAATTAAGTTAGTAAACTTAGTTGCAAGCCAGTATTCCTGTACATATTCATGTTTTATGTTCCTCAGTAGAATTTTGTAATTTTATCTACTTAGATTTTATAAATAATTGTATACATTTTCCACCCCGCCCTGAGGCTCCCAGCCTTTGTCCCTGCCGGCATACACAGTGCCTGAAAATGAAGGGGTCTCTCCTGACATTGAAGCAAACCCTCGGCTCTAGGTACCAGGTCACAGGGAAGCACTGAGACATGGCAATGGGCATTTTCTGCTGGTCTTGGGGCTGCAGTCTTGGCCAAAGCTGGCCGTCTGCAGTCAACTTGCCCAAGCTGACAGCCATCTTCTTCCAAATTAAGGGAAATGAATGGGGGTGAACTGGAAACCTTCCATGTTTCCATGACAGTACTCTCTGTTCTGTTGAGACAGGAGCTGTAAATTGGCTCCTGGCTTTGCTTTAATTTAGCCCAAACTATGGAAGGCAATTCTCCTGTTTTGGTGCTAATGAGCCCTTTGTCCTTATTCTAAAAGGTCTTTTGTTTAGTGCGTAGGGGGAGGGGTTTTGTAAGCCAGTTTTTGGGCTACCATTATTTAGAAGTCAAGATACAAATATTTTTTATGGCTTTTGGTATGTAAAGCAAAATTGTGTTCTAAAATGTTATACTAATTTTCAGTTCCATCGATAATTATGTCAATTTTCTCATACCCTGACCTGCATAGAACATTAGTTTTCAAAAGTCTTTGTCAAATGTAGCAGGCTAAAACAAAATATTTTATTGTTTTAATGGATATTCTTTGATTACCAGGAAGGTCTAGGAAAAAGACAGTTCTAAACCTAAGGGTTTATCCAGAATTCCCTCCAGACTGTTGTAGCCTGATTCTAATGAAACTGCTGGTGTTTTCTAAGCAGATACTTCACAAAGAAATGGTTCACAGTGAAAAAGTGCCTCAAAATACTCTAATATAGTGTGTCGTACGACACAGAGCATTAGAGAGATGGCTCTTGGTTAACGAAAGTGAGTCTTATCCATCTTGGTGTCAGCAGGACGGTGGTGACAACGCTTCACAGTCTTTGTGAGGAGGCTGGCAGCAGGAGGAAACCTCTGCAGGGGAGAGAGTGCGGCCGAGCACAGCACGTAAGGGTGTCCAGTCCCCAGTGCCTGTAGTGATGCCTGTGGCGGCCAGGCAGGGTGTACTGGTTGGGGACAAGTGCAGGCCTGGAACCTTCCAAGCTCTAAAACAGTGAAAGTCCCCAACTCATGGTTTCAGAACTTGGCCACTGGCCTAGCTAGCATGGATCTCACCTGAAACTGCAGGGAGCAGGAATCAAAAGTCCAGAACTTCTCAGCATTTCATTTCAGACACTGCCCCAAGCACACTTCACTCTACCACCTGAACCTGTTTAGTGTAAGTGAGTGGAAGTTTCACAGGATGAAAGATAAATCATTTATTGAAAAATGCCCAAACCTCCACTGACTGTAACTCACAACTTCTGACTGTGTATCTCTTTAGTGTCTTAAAAGATATCCTTGTTAGTTTTACCAGAAATTCCCTACTTAATACTGATGTCAATATCACTTGGTTTAATTATGTCCATCTTGATAGAAGAGCTAATGATTTCTGAACTTTCTGGGATGCATCATGCAATTTTTAGATTTTGACTTGCGTGGGTGTTTACAAACACAGGCCTCTTTTTTGGTGCCCTGTTTGATGTGTTGGTACCCCGCCCCACACTGAGAGCTTGCCATAACAAGGCTCTTGCAGCAGGGGCCAGACATTACTCACCCTAACAATAGCAAAGGGGTGCATTTCTCTCAAATTAACTTGTTCCCCTTAAAACAGAACTCATGTGTGCCTCTTTCAGGGAGAGCTGCCCTCCTTCACCCTGTCTTCTTGGGGGAGACCACCTTGTGCTGCCTTGCACGAGCTCTGTGTGACACTGCTGGCATGCCATTCTGAAAACCTTCATCTGTGACTCTGACATATATGAGTTTCTCTCAGCACACTGACCGGAAGCATTGCTCAAGCATGCTCACCACACATCAGGAAACTGTGAAGATTCACTCCACCCTAGTGCACCTACACAGGGGTGGTCAGGAAGCAGGAAGCAGGTGTTCCCTGGACTGGGGGCAAGGGTGGGGGGCAGTGAGGGCAGGTGGTAACCAGCAGACAAAGTCCGAGGCTCCAGGATATAGACCCAACTCCAGCTAACGAGGAGGCTGTGAAGTCACAGAGGCCTGAAAATGGAAATTCCAGTGATCTGGAGCTGACTCCTTCACCTCTTCACAGACTCACAATCTGACTTAGGTGCTCCCTGAAGACAACATTACCTGATAATGGAGAAGAACTTCAACCCTGCCAGTACCATGAGGACAATGGGAAGTGACCAAAATGTTTGGTCTGTTTGTGCTAACAGAACGTTTCCATGGCTGCAGCAGGTCCCTGGAAGCTGGCTGTGCGTGGTGTGTGGGGATCGCTGGGCATGCAGAGCAGGATGGTGCAGCTTCAGGCCTTGGGAAGCATGCTCACAACTTCAAAGTGTGAAAGCAAACTCTTTAGGCTCATTATTTTCCAACAGATCCTTACTGACTAGAGGACAAAGAGCCCAGGTGTATTTGCATGATTGTAGACAGATACTTCACTCTCACAGACACCTGCTTAGACAGTGTGCGTATCAGTGCAGACACTTACACTTACTATTCTTTGAGTAAGCTCTTCTGATTACTTTGAATTGTTTTATGTTCATTGTTTACTCAATTATCTTGGTAATGTCACAGGGAAAAGGCAGAGATGTAACAGTAGAGAGGGCAGGAAGGAAAGGAAGGCCAAAGTCACTGCTGGGCTTGGGCTGGCTGCTCCTTCCTGCCTCCCTTTGCTGGGTCAAACCTTCCACTGAAACAAGCACTGGAATCTTCACGGTTTCTTCCTTGGTCTTTTCTTTTTTTTTCTTTTAGTATATTTTATTGATTATGCTATTACAGCTGTCCCATTTTCCCCCTTTACTCCCTTCCCCTCTGTGCACGCTCTCCCACCCACATCCCCCCCCTTTAGTTCATGTCCAGGTGTCATACTTGTAAGTTCTTGGCTTCTACATTTCCCACACTATACTTACCCTCCTCCTGTCTATTTTCTACCTACCATCTATGCTACTGATTCTCTGTACCTTTCCCCCTCTCCTCCTCCCACTCCCCCAATGCTAACCCTCCATGCGATCTCCATTTCTGTGGTTCTGTTCCTGTTCTAGTTGTTTGCTTAGTTTGTTTTTGTTTTAGGTGTGCTTGTTAATAATTGTGAGTTTGCTGTCATTTTACTGTACATGTTTTTTTTATCTTCGTTTTCCTAGATGAGTCCCTTTAAAATTTCATATAAGGGCTTGGTGATGATGAACTCCTTGAACTTGACCTTATCTGAGAAGCACTTTATCTGCCCTTCCATTCTAAATGATAGCTTTGCTGGAGAGAGCAATCTTGGATGTAGGTCCTTGCCTTTCATGACTTGGAATACTTCTTTCCAGCCCCTTCTTGCCTGTGAGGTCTCTTTTGAGAAATCTGCCCACAGTCTGATGGGAACTCCTTTGTAGGTGACTGTCTCATTTCCTCTTGCTGCTTCTAGGATTCTCTCCTTCATTTTAATCTTGGCTAATGTAATGACGATGTGCCTTGGTGTGTTCCTCTTTGGGTCCAACTTCTTTGGGACTCTCTAAGTTTCCTGGACTTCTTGAAAGTCTATTTCCTTAGCCAGAATGGGGAAGTTCTCCTTTATTATTTGTTCAAATAAGTTTTCCACTTGTTGCTCTTCCTCTTCTCCTTCTAGTACCCCTATAATTTGGATGTTGGAATGTTTAAAGATGTCCTGGAGGTTCCTAAGCCTCTCCTCATTTTTTTTTGAGTTCTTGTTTCTTCATTCTTTTCTGTTTGGTTGTTTCTTTCTTCCTTCTGGTCCACTCCATTGATTTGAGTCCCAGTTTCCTTCCCATCACTATTGGTTCCCTGTACATTTTCCTTTATTTCACTTAGAGTAGCCTTCATTTTTTCATCTAATTTGCAACCAAATTCAACCCATTCTGTGAGCATCCTAATTACCAGTGTTTTGAACTGTGCATACGATAGGTTGGCTATCTCTTCATTGTTTAGTTGTATTTGTTCTGGAGCTTTGATCTGTTCTTTTGTTTGGGCCACTTTTTTTTGTCTTGATGCACCTGTTACATAGTGAGGGGCAGACCCTTAGGTGTTCACTAGGGCAGGGCACCCTAGTTGCTGGGTTTTGACACTGTATGTGGAATCCGAGAGGGAACAATGGCACTTGCTCCATACTCTGCCAGATTTCATTCACTTCTAGTGCTTCCCCTAAGCAAATTGGGCCCTTCTGGTGCTAATTCTTGGATGGGTGGGCTTGTGTACATTCTAGGACCCTGTGGGTCTCTCCAATGAACTCTCCTATGAGGCTGGGACTTTCTCCAGGCACCTCAACCCCCACAGGTGTTTTCAATAGGTGTTTTGAGGCTTTATTTCCCTGTGCTTGGACCCTGGGTTGAGCGGTCTGTCTCGCTCCCCAGTTTCGCCTGGTTTATGTGCACGCGGAATGTGGGACCACCTGGCCTGCCAGCTGCCTTGCGCACTGCACCCCTCTGCAATCCACTGCCTTGCTGGGTCCACCTGCTGCTGCCTTGTGCACCCAGGGTCCGCCAGCTGCCCTGCTGCGAGCCCTCTCCGTGTGGCTCCACAACTATGCCCTTCTTACTGGTCTGGATGAATGTGTCTACATTAACTCATTGGTTGTTGGACTTCTATACAGTTCACTTTTCTGTCAGTACTGGTTGTTTTTTGTTTTTAAATTGTTGTTGTCCTTCATCTTGTCTATGCCTCCATCTTGGCTGGAAGTCCCCTTGGTCTTTTCTTTATGCCTCTGCGGTTCTGGGATTTATAATAAGAAATCTTATTTGGTCTGTGCTCACTGTTCCTGGCATGGAGCCCCTAAAGCCCATGTAATTTCTCATATTAGAGCCATGAAGGCATCTTTGGTTATAACACTTGGGTTTTGTCTTCAGTTCCAGGAATGACTTTAGAGCGATTGAGACGAGGCCGGTGTCTTTTGGAAAGCCCCTAGAGAACTGCAGAACAGGGTGGGTGGTCAGGGGAACCAAAGGCGTGATTAGAGGCTTGGTGCATTTTGTCTCAAGGCTTTATATACCGCTTATGTCTGTTCTGTCCAATATAGTAGCCATATGGCTATCTAAATGAAAAGTAGCAAAATAAAAAATTCAAAATTTCAGTTACACTTGCCATATTCTATGTGCTCAAGAGTCCATGTGGCCAGTGACCAGACTAGACAGCATAGATATAGAACGTTTCCATCATTTCATGAAGTTCGGGTAGTACAGATCTCGTCACTGACAACCTCAAATCTGTCTTTCCAGCTCTGAGTTCCCTTTGAACTCCCAATTTGCTATACAATTGCTTGCTTGACCTTGCTGCCTGTACACCTCGTGGACATCTTAACATGATTCAAAACAGAGCTCATTTGTTGTTTTCCAAATGTTTAATAATCCTGTCCAGCACCACATAGAAAAGTGCTGTGAAATTTTAATATGCTGTGATGGTTAATTTTCTGTGTCAACTTGGCTAGCCCACAGTATCCAGATACTTGGCCACACATTATTCTAGAAGTTTCTGTGAAGGTATTTTTAAACTCATAAGAACAGATACAACACTTCGTCTTAGCCCAAAGGCTGAGATGCAATCTGTGAAGGTATTTTTAAAATGAGATTAATGTTTACAATAGTAGACTTCAGGTAGAGCAAAATACCCTCCATACTGTGGGTAGGCCTCATTTCATTAGTTCATGGTCTTAATAAAAAAAAGATGGATCTCTCCCTAAGGGAATTCTGGCAGCAGACTGCCTTCAGACTTGAATTGTAGCATCAGTTCTTTCCTGTGTCTCCAGACTGCCAACCTGTCCTGCACATTTTGAATTTCTCTGTCTCCGCAATTACGTGAGGCAATTCATAAACAGAATTCTGTCTCTCTCTACACTCCTATTGGCTCTGCCAACAGGAATAATTTCTCTGGAGAACCCTAACACACACTATAAAAAATTAAATCCCTTTGTTCAGTTACTCTCACCATCAGTGCCATAACCATTCTTTGGACTATTTATTTTAATGTAGAATAGTCAAAATAGACCTTTTAAAGATATCTACCTATTCCTTCTCCATCTCAGAAAATGGTCCTGTCAAGCTGGACACCTGGAGTCACTGCTGACTCTTTCCTCTGACCGTCCCCTACAACCACTCAGTCACTAAGTCTAGCTGACTCTATTTCTAAAACATATTTCGAGTATCTTTCTATACACATTGCTACTGAGACAGGGTAGCAAGAAGACAGGAAAATTCCTTTGCCAGTGGACTAGGGAAACTGAGATGACAGCTGAACACAGTGGCCAAGCAATTCACAGTCAGGTGCAAAGAGTCACTGGGGGAAGGTCCCTGAGTGCCTGGCAGGGGGCAAAACCAGGAAAATGAGGACCTCAGCCCCGGGGTAACGTTTCCTCCCCAGGCCTCTCCTCCCTGGAGACAACATCTAGGCATCAGCTGTGTTTCAGCTCCATGCCCAGAAAAGCAGCAAAACCAGGTGGGCAATACCAGAACCTATGCAATAACTAATGACCCCCTGCCCTGGCACTGACCAATAAGTGGAGACCAGGACCCTAAGAGGTCCCACCTGAAAAACTGATGAATGTTCTGCCGAGACCCTCCCCTGAGATCTCCCCTAAAATTCCCACGAGAGAGAAATAAAAGCCTCGTGACAAAGAACCCAGCATGCCTGTGTTCTCTATGGGGAGCAGCGGTGCCATCTCACTTCCCTTTTCCTTCCCCCACTTCTTTCTTCACAGGCACACCTGTCTGTCTCTCATACTCTAGAACAATGGGCAGCAGCAGTTCAACCAGGGCTGACCCCCTGAAGCTGTCCCCAGGGCCCCATTTCTCTGACTCCCAGTGAGCTCAGGCAGCCCAGCCTGGACTCTCCTGTTGCTTCTTCCACCCTAGGTCCTTCCTTGTTTCACCGTGCTTGGCTTTAATAACTGTACCCTCATAGTCACCTAGACTCATGTTGTGAAATCTTTCCTACATGAAGTCAAGAGCCCACACACTACAGCGGGCCATGGATAGACCTGCTGTAAAACTACCACCCCAGCTAATGGGTAAAGCTGGAGAAAACAAGTTCTCATGGTGACCACTGCAAGCAGCTGCCCAACTGGTAGCTTCTGTTTCAATCTTGTTTTCTTTCCAATTCACTTTGTTTCACAAAACTGCCAGAGATCTTTAAAAAACAGGAACAGTGTCTCTTCATAGACTGGACTCCTTCAACAACTTCCCATAGTGCCTGGAGCGAAATGCTAACTTCTACCAGCAAAGTCACACCCAGGAGCCCTGAAGAGTCTAGCCCACCTACACCTCGCTCGCCCTCATGCACCTGGGGCAGCTGGCCTGCTCTGTACCAAGGTGTCTCCTTGTTCTGTGCTTCTCAGCCCTGGAAAGCTCCCCTTAGCTCTAAGCACTGCTGGGCCATTCAGTTCTTTCTTTAGACTCAGCTGAAGTCACGTCTCCTCAGGAAGACCTCCTCAGGCTCCTCATCTGAATCATCCTGCCACTGTTCACCATTACTGCACTGTCTCATGGCCCTCTCACGGTTTGTACCTGTGTTTATTATGTTCCTTACAGATTTCCCACTTGCTGATTATCTGTCTCATGAGGATGGATAATACATCTGCATTGCTCCCTGTTGTCTGTATTACTGCTCATGAGGTTCAGTGGGAAATGCATGTTGGATGAATGAGTGCAGACACCATCAGGTGTTTTCTGAAGCACACTGTGCAACAGGATTCTGTAGGGTGTTCCAGGTTGGTGTTTTGACAACTGAGCCCGCAGGCTGCATCTGGCATGCAGCCTGTTATTATAAATCAAGTTATTGCAATGCAGCCTGCCCATACTGTCCATGACTACTTGGGTGTTCCAATGGTAGACCTGAGCCATGACAGAGTCCCACAGACCCACAGAGACTACCATTTTATCCTTAACAGGACAGGTCTGCCAACTCCTGTTGCAGGTACTTGAAAAAGAAGGCTTGGTGGATGTGATTGATCTATGCCAGGGCAGATGGGGACATACAGGGTCTGTAATGAAGGACCTGAAGCCCTGACTGCACTAACGAGCACAGCCAATCTCTAAAAGCATGTCAGAAAGTACTTTTTCCCAAGTGTATTTGAGCAGGGAACTCTTTCGAGATATTTGTTGGTTCTTTGAAGACTTTGGAAAAAGGGGGCCAAAGTCTCCACACCATGAAGGTCAGATTCTGTAAGGACTTTCTCTGGAAAAGGAGCAACAGGAATTTCTCAGTGGCCATGTAAGCAGGTCTTCACTACATTCTCCTAGGTAACAAAGGTCTCTGTTGAGAAGTGACCCCGAGAAGCATTTACTGAGGGTGAGGCTCTGCAGTGCAGCCGCACACTCAGCTGTTACCCATACCTGGTGCCAACATCCTTGTTTCTACTTCTCATCTCTAACTCCTACCCCACCGGGACGAGTTCTGGAGGACACCCAGGGTGACGGGCAGAGACTCACTTTCTCCTGGCTGTTCAGCTCCTGGTACGGGATGTGCGCGGGCAGGTAGGTATGGAGGAGAGCACAGAAGGCCAAGCCGTCACTCCAGCTGCTGCTGAAATTGGTAATATCAATGTTCTGTGGGAGGGAAAGCAGCGTTAATTATCCACTATGCACAGTAACAAAATAGAAATGAGACCGTGGGAAAATGGGTATCCATCTTTGGGCTTGCTGTAACACAAGACAGGAAACTACTCAAGTCTGCAGGGAGTACATTTAATTTTGGAACCAGGAACAGCCTGGTGTTGCCCAAATCTTAAAAAAAAGGCTTTAGACCTCGAAACACTACGGAATTTCTGTCTGGTATATTAAGGGCTCTGGGAACCTTATTCTCAAATTAACTCACCTGATAAGTTCTGTCTAGCATTTCCCAGCCTTATTTGACCAATGAAGACTCATCATCACTATCATCATAACTACCATCATCATCTGGTATAACTCTGATCAACTATAGCTGGACCAAGACAAAACAAAATGGTCATGAAGACCTACGGGGCCATTCTCATGGCTTGCCCCTTGACCTCCCTCTTCTGTCCACAGTGTGAAGGAGGAAACCCTGCTGGCACCCCTAATACTGGGGTCATGAGGGTCACTGGGGGAGAGGAGCTGCCCCTCTGGGACAGGCAGGAACACTGGAAGCTACTTGGTAAACCATGAGGAAGAAAACCACATCCAACTTTATATGGCAGCCCATGGAGACGGTGGTTCCTTCCAGTGCCTGGGGCTCCTAGCGGGTCTAAGTGTACTTCCCGCTCTCACATCCACACACCTGCCCCTCCTGCTTCTTCCTCCCTGACTAGGCTTATTCCAGTAGGAGTTTCTTCTCTGCTTCACAGAGCTCATCCCAAATGAAATGTTGGTTCCAAAGCCCACTAACTCTTTAATGCTCAGGCAGGGTGCCATCGTGGCTGCATAAATGCACTGACACCGTCTGGGGAGGTCTGGGTGGGGCCTGCAGAAGTGGCACCCACTTAAGGCTGAGTCAGAGCCCCTCTGGTCTGGTCAGAGGACATGGGAAAGTATGGGGCTCCTTCTGTGCTCTCTCTACAGCCACTGGGCACTGGGAGGCAGTGAGGCCTTCCTCCTCCTCCAGACACCCCACTCTGGGAAGCAGGAAGCTGGCAAAGCCAGCCAAGGTGCAGAGAGGTGGTGAACAGCCTGTCCTTTCTGGAGGAGTGCACAGTGACTGCTTCTCCCTCCTTGTGCCCAAGCCACATGCAACACTCCTTGGTGTAATCCTCACCGCCCTGAAAAGAGGGGGAGGTATCTGTACCAGAAGCCACAGGGGGAAGCGTGAAGAGGAGCAGGGCATACGGTTCAGCTGCAAGGGGGTGGAGAGGAGGTGTTACAGAATTCCCTAAGTGTGTGTGTAAACTGCAGATGCAAATGTGAACTAAGAAATGTGATATAATGTGTTTCCTGTGAGGTTTTCTGAGGGGTTTAGAAGCAAATGGCCTCTAATCTTATATGAGCTTTTTATCTAGACTCTGTAAGCATCAGTTTGAGCTATTATGGCCCAGAAAGATGAAGTAAGTCAAAAACTTCAGTTTATGGTAAAGAAACTGAGCCCAGAGGGGGTGGTGCTGCACGTCGCACAAACTGTTCACCTGAAAAACGAACATGCCAAGAAGCCAGGCTCCATGGGCCTTAGGGTCTTTTCTATTAAACCTCTTCTCACTTTCACCCGGGTTCAAGATGATCCTATGGACCCAGAACCTTCCCAAAGCACCTGCTTCCAGTAATGTGCCCTATTCTCTAATCTGCTGCAACCACATTTACCCAGGGAAGGCTACCTGGCAGGGAGAGACACACAACTATAACAACATCTCTTCATACAGTTTTCATGACTCAAGCACAACCAAATTTTAAGAGTTGCTAAGCATCTGTGTTACATAAAAATTTGAGAATGACCTCGTTGGAAGGGGCCTGGCTCAGTTTCAGAGTGAATGTGTAAGAGCTGGGCTTCCTGATACGCTGATCATCTGGAATTTGGGCTTCAAAAGTCTCTTTTGGTCCAACAGCTCTTTGATGAGGCCTAGAGGCTACTTTAGAAATGGGTAACACTTTGATTTTCTAGTTTCTGAAGAGGTTTCTATGTTTAACAAAGAAGAGGAAGTATCAGGTAGGGGCTACAACATGCCCAGTTCGCTTGCAGTCCCGAGCACTGGAACCAGACGCTGTGGACAGCAGAGTCTGGGTTGGGGGTGCGGGAAGCAGGCCAGGCTGCCTGAGGCAATTGGCACCACTGCTCTTGAGACCAAACCCATCCAGACCTGTGGTGCCATGATTTTTGGGAAGGAGAGCCAGACTTTATTTCTGGTTACCATTCATGGTGACCACTGGGCACCTGCATAGACAGGCCCGGCCCCAACCAGACAGCATTCTTCTGAAAGGCAACTCAGGCACAGGTAATGCCACGCCCAAGAGAAAGGCTACACTTTAGAGAGAAAGCCAAATGCTCCAGGGTCAAGATCAAGGTCCCTTAAGTAACTCTCCCTTAAATGGTGCTGGTAGTATAGGAAGTGACATTTGTTGAGCATCAATGCTGTGCCTTTGATATTGTGCGTTTTCTCATTTAATTCTCAGAACAACTGCACATAGAAGTGGCGTTGTACCTAGTTTGTGGGTGAGAAAGCTGAAACAAAAAGAAACTGGTAGTATGAGAGTTAGGATCAAGGTCCAGTACTGTCAGACTTGAAAAGTTTCCTTCCTTCCTTCTTTCTTTTCTCTCTTCCTCTTCCCCCTTGCCTTCATTCCTTCACAGATTTACACTTAAAGCTTACAGTGCTTGATAAATCTTTCTTTTTCTAAAATTGAAAACACTTTATACATGTACCTCTTGTACTATATAGGATACAAAACATTTTTTTTATCTGCACAATTTTCAGAAGGATTTTCAGAGGCCAAAAGGACCCCAAAGAGAGTCCAGTATTTTAGTTAACTGCTACTTAAGAACAGTTTTTGATCTGTAAGTATAAATGAGTAATAGGCTGAAATTATTCTGAGATATAAAATCTGGTGAGATGAAAGCCAGGGTTGAAAAGATCAATCAAAATGACCTACAAGCAGAGGAGGGCTCAGAAGAGCGCAGACAGCGCAGCACACTGGGAGGGACACACTGCAATGCAGACTCACATCTGGAGCGAGACCAAGCAAAGCTGCGTAAGAACAAAGAGACACCCCCAAGCTACCCCAGTCATCAAATCTAACATCTAGGGCAGGAAATACCTCTCTTCCATGGAACCTGCATTCAGGTTACTTTGAATTGTTTGGACACTGGCAGAGATGGAAGGCAGCCAGCTATAATTTGTAATAATATAGTTATTCCAAGAAATCAAATAAAATATTTACCAAATAAATATTGCTATCAAATAAAAAATTTACCCTTCTTACTTCTGAGTGAAACAATCCCAATTCTAGTTCCCTGGGTGCCATTTGAAAATGTCCATAATCCTATTTGAACATGGGAGTATCAGTAATTCCCAATGCAACACAGCTGGCTGAACAACTGAAATGTGTGTATATTTATGATACCTCACATAAGATGATGAAGACCAACTCGTAAAGCACTGTACATGCCTCGGTGGTTGCTTTTGCTGCTATCATGGTAAAGGTGGTTTGTTACTGCTCACTAGGCTCCGTCCAGGAGCTGGGAGGTGGACTGGAGCAAATGAGGAGCTGGGGAGGCAGCAGTTTTACATTGCTTGTGTTTTTCGCACGAGCCAGAAAGGGGATTAGTTGCTTCCTACTTTATCAGATCTTCGTCTCATATCAGTAGCAGATCCAGGGAAGATATGGGGAGCCAAGAATGGCAGAAGACAGCCTCACTGAGCAAGGGAGGGGGCTGCAAGTATTAAAGAAACCTGGGCTTCATCAGGTCCAGCAATTTTCCCAGAAGGTCCTGTAGACAGGGCCATATGGCAGTTCAAGGGTGTGGGCAGCAGCCCAGTGCTGTCCACCCACATGCTGGGAGGCTGGTTTCCCTGGAATGGAAAAGCATCCAGGTGGGGTGTGTGGGTACCAGTGATGTGGGCTATGATCCAGTCCTACTGAGACAGGATTGGAAGAAGACCCAGAAATTCCTTGGCCAGTGGACTAGGGAAACTGAGATGACAGCTGAACATAATGGCTGAGCAATTCACGACCAAGTGCGGACATCATCAGAGTGCAAGGTCCCCAGGGTCTGGAAGGGGCAAAACTGAGAAAACAAGGACCTCAGCCCAAGGGTAACCTCCCCTCCCCAGGCCTCTCCTCCCTGGAGATAACATCTAGGCCTCAGTTGTGTTTAAGCTCCAGGCCCAGAAAATCAGCAAAACCAGGTGGGCAATGCCAGGACCAGCTGCCATGACTGAAGACTGCCTGCCCAGTCACTGACCCATCAGTGGAGACCAGGACCCTAAAAGGACACACCTGGAGAAATGATGAATGTTCTACTGAAACTGTCCCCTGAGACCTCCCCTACGATTCCTGCATGCAAGGGGATAAAGCCTCAAGACAAGGGAGTCAGTGTGTGTGCTCCTTCTGGGGAGCGGCCAGCGCCATGCCATTCCCTTTCCCTTCTTCTCCAGCACCTGCTCCCCTTAAACCCCCAGACTTCTTTGTTTACAGGCACGTATCTCCTAAACTCTAAGGCAATGGGCACTAGTGGCTTGTCCCAAGCTGATCCCCTGAACCTGTCCCCAAGGCCCCCTTTTCTCCAGCTTCCCAGGGAGCTCAGCCAGCCCTGTCTGGGCTCCCCTGTTGCTTCTTCTATGCTAAGCCCTTCTTTGTTTCACTGTCCCCAGCTTTAATAACTGTTTCCTCATAGTCACCTGGACTCGTGCTGTGAAGTCTTTCCTACACGAAGTTAAGAACCCACACGCTACAGCAGACCCACTCCCAGCCCAGCCCCTGTCCAGTAACAATAGCACAATGACCAGAGGTAGAAGGAACCATGGCAGAATGGTGCTCACATGCTCATGTGTGGGGTCATCTCACTGAGTTGGTGGGCAACAGTCCTTCCACGTTCATAGTTACAGCCTCTGACTCAGGACAAAAACGAAGGAGAGAAACACAACCCTCCAAGGGTGTTATACGTA